AAAAAAAAAAAAAAAAAAAAAAGAAAGAAAGAAAAAAGAAAAAAGGAAGGAAGGAAGGAAGGACGGACGGACGGACGGACAGAGGGAGGGAAGGGAGAAAAGAAAAACCAAGCAAACTACTGACAAATTTCTAAGAGTTGTAACCCTCAATTAAAGTCTCAGGCATGTCATTGGAGGTATGCCAGAAGCAAGCTCTGATATCACAGAAGACAGTCCCATGAGCTATTATCAAAGATTCTTAACCTGTATAGGAACTTGCCAATGTCTGTGTGTCTGTGTATATCTGTGTGTCTTAGTTTTTAACAAAAATTTTTAAAGAAAAAAATTTAAGTTACATAGAAAATTCACAAAGATACAAAGAAAAAGTGTTTTGTAATTCAATAATGTGTTTTAAACTGTTATTACAAATGAGTCAAAAGGCTGAGCAATAAAGCTTACAAAGTGAAAAGGCTACATTAAAGCTGATCTATTACTGAAGAAAAATGCTTTAAAACATCTAATATAGATGTATATAAAAATTTTAAACTTTAAACTAATGTTCAGTATTGCACAAGGTATTCATATCCACTCACTACTTATTCACCTAGAACAAGTTCTAGTCTTACAGTCTAAGAATACCATTTTATGTTCAACATCCGTAGCCATCATGGAAATGCAAATCAAACCTACTTTAAGATTCTATCTTCCACCTGTCAGAATGGCTAAGATCAAAAACACAAGTGACAGCTCACACTGATGAGGATGTGGAGCAAGGGGAACACTTCTCCATTGCTGGTGGGAGTGCAAACTAGTACAGCCACTATGAAAATCAGTATGGTAGTTCCTTAGAAAACTGGGAATCGCTCTACCTCAAGACCCAGCTATACCACTCTTGGGCATATACCCAAAGGACACTACCACAACTATGTCCATAGAGGCTTTATCAATAATAGCAAGAAACTGAAAACAACCTAGATGTCTCTCAACTGAAGAATGTATAAAGAAAATGTGCTATGTTTACACAACAGAGCATTACTCAGTTGTTAAAAACAATGACATCATGAAATTTGCAGGCAAATGGATAGAACTGGAAAAATACCATCCTTGGTAAGACAACCCAGATGGAGAAAATCAAACATTGTATGTATCACTTATAATGTTCATTAGCTGTTAAGTAAAGGGCAGACTCAGAGAGGCTCAAGGGGAAGGGAAATATAATAGATTTTATGGGTGGACTGGTGGCAGATAGGGATGGAAACAGGAGGGCTCAGGCTGGGGTGGGTGTATGGAAGAAACAGAGGGAAAGAGTACTGGGCATTTGGGGGACAATGTAGAAAAACTCCTTGGAATCTACAAGTAAGCCTAGCAAAATCTCCTAGTAATGGGGGATATAGCTCCCGAACTAGTCATCTTCTATAACCAGGCAAGGCTCCTAGGCATCAGACTGAAATAAAAGACCTAGAGACAGATATTGGGGTTCAAACTTCAAGCTGAAAATCAGAAAAGCAAAGCAGTCAGCCACTAGCTCTCACCTCTGTCTCAACTCAGACCAATGGGGTGATGCTTAAACTGCTCCCAACTTCAATGCTCCTCAGATTCACTCAGACTACTATGCTCTTCTCTGTGTGCCTAGAGACTAATGAGACTGACTACTGAAGATCCTGCTCCTATCTTTTATACCTCTTTATTGCTGGGCTTAAAGGCATGAGCTCTGTTACCCTTTTAGATGGATTTAATCTCATGTAGCCCTGCATGGCCTTGAACTCAGAGAGACCCATCTACCTCTTAATCCTGAGTCCTGGGATTAAAGGTGTGTACTACCACTGCCTAATCTCTATAGCTCGAGGCTGACTTTGCTTTCTAAATCCTCAGACAAGCTTTAATAAATCATAAATATATCACCACAGACTGGGACATCAACCCAGCCACAAAACCTTTAACCTATAATTTGTCCTGTCTGCAAGATGTACTGGGGAAATAGTGGTAGAGAACTCATGAAGTGGCCAGCTTATGACAGGTTCAACTTGTTGCCTACACCAGGAGAGTGAGCCCACACCTGGCACTGCCTGGATGGCCAGAAACCAGAGGCAGGATAGCTCAAAGACCCAAACACAACTAGCAAAGAAAAAAAAAAAAGGCAATGACATGATTTCTAAGGATATCCTGCTATAATCATAGATAGGTGCCTAGCCCAATTGTTATCAGAGGGTGTCATCCAGCAACTGATCGGAGCAGATGGAGAGAACTACAACCAAACACTAGATGGAGCCAGGGGAACCCTGTAGAAGAGAGAGAAGAGGGATTGAGCCAAAGGGGTAGAGGACACCAGGAAAATAAGGCCCACAGAATCGACTAAGCAGGACTCACAAGAACTCATAGGAACTTAGTGACAAATATGGTCCCTGTGTGGGTCTAAGCTAGATCCTGATAGCTTAGTGTTCTTGTGGAACTCTCAACAATGAGAAGGGAGGTATCTCTGACTCTTTTGCCTGTGCTTAGGAACCTTTTCCTCCTACTGGGTTGCCATATCCAGATGTGATATGAGGGTTTGTGCTCAGTCTTAATTGTATCTTGTTAGTAGACCATGCTCAGTAGAAATCTCTGGGACATTTTTCTTTATTTTTAAGGGAAACAGAGAAGGAGTTGATCTGGGGGAAAGGGGAGGTAAGGGAGGGGCTGGGAGGAGTGGAGGGAGAAACTGTGGTGGGAATGGAATGTATGAGAGAAGAATAAAAGTTTAAAAATATACCATTTTAATCTCTATAATATATCTTTACTCTTTCCTTCCCTCTCTCTCCTTCCTTTTTTTGGAAATAGATCTCATTCTATACCCCAGGCTGAACTAGAATTGTGTGACCTAGGCTAACCTCAAATTTGCAGCAACCTTCCTGGCTTTAGCTTCCTGAGTGCTAATATTACAGGTGTGACCTAGTACCATGGAGGTGAAAACAAGTGAATGCTGGGAGCTCACTAGCCAAACAGCCTAGCCAAATCAGTAAGCTCCTGGTTTAGTGAAAGACTCTGATTCCAACAGTAAGATGAGAATGACTGAGTAACACATGCAATGTTGACTTCTTGCCTCCATGCACAGAAGCACACAACCACATGAACAAACACACACTGACACACGTGTATACCACACAAAGACACAAAATTCTGCAACCTTGTATATACAAAGAAAAATTAAAATGCAATTCTGCATTCCTACAACTTTCACTACTTTTCCTTTACCCACCACTTAATTCAACTTCAATGTGGCCAGTGCTTCATGAGCCACCCATGAACTAGCTTCATGTGTTTAATTGGCTGTTACTGTTTTAACCATTAGTGAAGAACAAAAAGAATTCTAGATTTGGTCTGTTGCCACATATAATTTCATATTAGTAAACAAATTACTTGATTTTGTGCATCTCAATTTTTAATCTCAATTTCTAAATCTGCAAGTGCAAGCAAGATATCTACTTCAATTGCTTTAAGAAGAATGTAAGTCAAGCCTGGTGATACATGCCTATAATTTTAGCACTTGAAAGGCAGGAAGATTGCAAGTTCCAGGATTCTAGATCTGCCTGATCTATAAACTACATAGCAAGACCTTGTCTCAACAAATCAATTGTAAAAACAAGCAAAACAGTGTACGTAAGAAGACAGAAAAATTCTCTAAATTTATTTCCATTTATATGTAATAAGGCCTACTAACATAAATAAAACTTGCTGGGGGTGGTGACACATGCATTTAATCCCAGCACTCAGGAGAGGCCGGCAGATCTCTAAGTTTGAGGCGAGTCTGGCTTATGTTATCAAGCTCCAGACCAGCCAAGGCTAGATAGTGAAACACTGTCTCAAAAAAAGTAAAAACCTGATAAATGACTTTTGGCAAAGAAAAAGAAAAACAAAACACTGGTTTTCTATTGGCTTTCACAAATTAAGCATAATAGAAAAAATTATAGAAAAATACCGAGAGAAATTTTTTTTAGCATAGACCCTCTAACTGTACATTAAAACTTTACTATGTCCAAGTGCACTGAATATCATATATGTATAGTTCCAACTACTTGGAAGAGTAAAACAGAAGGACTGATTCATCCAAGAGTTCAAGGCCAACCTCAGCAATATAGTAAGAGTCAATCTCATTAAAATTTTTTAAAAAAAGAAACTTCAAGATTAGTATTTATTGCATTATTGTATCTCAACACTTACCAGTTTTCTCTTCTTGGTTGAAACAGGTTTAATACAGTGCGCTGAACTAGTAGAGCCTACGGAGATTTCTCCCTCCTTCTTCTCCTAAGAATGTCATTTAGGAGAAAAAAATGAACAGAAAAGCACAAAATAAAGCATGACTTAATCACTATTATAAATTGACATTCTCATTAAAAAATGAGCCCTGAGAACATTTAGAGATACAAACTTTAGTAAGAAAGGAGCTCAACTAGGAGGACTCAAAAAGAAATTAGAAGCCCTAGGTGCTTCCAAACTGGAGGCAAGATAAGTACAGTCAAATAAGAACATTGTGAAACAGCATTGCCACAGTGAGATTCAATCCATAAAACAAAACTGGATGTCCCACTTTCCAGTGGATCTTGAACTCAAAATGCTGAAGACAATGTTGTTTTAAGTATCTACTATGTACCAAAGATACAGACCAAGAGCTGAGTCTTCAAAAAAAAAATTCAAAAATAAAAAATAAGTTCTTGTCTCCATAAAGGTTAAGATCTAGTGCAGAAATTTACTAATATGTTTAGAATGATACTTTGGATGAAATATAACAGAGAAGGTGGACAAAAAGGTGAAGAGCTCTAAGTAGGAAGATCTGCAATTTTTAAATGTGTTCATAAAAGATTCCATTGATTAAACTAACAGCTGAATGGAGACCTAAATAAAGAAACAAGGGTTGGGTATACAGCTCAGTAGGTAGACGGCTTGTCTAGCATGCATAAGGTCCTGTATGCAATCTTCAGCACTATATACACCAGGCACAGTGGTGTACACTTGCAATCCAAGTACTCAGGAGGTAGAGACAGGATGGTCATTCCTAGTCCCCAGGAATTTGAGGCCAGCCTGAATACTTAAGCCCCTATCTAAAATAAAAAGAAACATGGCTGGAGAGATGGCTCAGAGGTTAATACATACTGCTCTTACAGTGGACTCATTTGGTTCCTGACACCCATGTCAGGCAATTCACATGCAACTGAGGCTTAGGGGATCTGAAGCCCTCTGGTTTCCTTGGTACCTGTAGTCACATGTTCAAATATACACACAGACACACACTTATACACATAATTTCAAAAGTAAAACCATTTTTAAAAACGGAACAAACAGTATATTTTCAGTTTAAAGGGAATAACTGACAAGGAAGAAACCACAGAAACAGGAATGCTCCTAAGTGGCTGGAACAAAGAAGTCATTAAGTAGAAAGTAATGATAAGATGAAATGGGGAGAGTGGAGGGTCTCCCAGTCCCAACAAGAGGGCAGTTAACATGGAAAACCACAAGTACAGAGCAGAAAAGTGACACATTCTGACCAATATTGTAATAGGACCACATTGGTCACTGTGTTAAGAATAAACTATGAGGAGGCAAAGGCAGAGGCAGAAAGAAGAATTTAGAAACCAGTAGAACTAAGGAAAACAATTTAGATCATGGTAACAGCAAGAAAGGAAGTAGTGAGACTTTTAGTAGGTTTAAAAAGAGAAAACCCAGGGCTAGAGACATGGCTCAGAGGTTAAGAGCACTGACTGTTCTTCCAGGGGTCCTGAGTTCAATTCCCAGCAACCGAATGGTAGCTCACAACCATCTGTAATGAGATCTAGTGACCTCTTCTGGTCTGCAGGTATACATGTAGACAGAACACTGTATACATAATAAATAAATCTTTAAAAAGAGAGAGAGAGAGAGAAAACCCGACAGAAATCACTTATAGACTGGCTGTAGGTATGGGCTAACTACCAAGTTTTGGCCTAAATTGAAGAAATGGAACTATAGTTTATTAAATTAGGAAAACTAAGCTTGGGTACTTGAAAGGTTTAGTTTAAGAAAATTAGTAAGGAAGCTGGGTATAGTGGCACACCCCTTTAATCTCTACATTAAGGAGGCAGAGGCAGGTGGATCTCTTTGTGTTCAAGGTCAGCCTGGTCTACAGAGTAAGTTCCAGGACAGCCAGGGCTATATATATGTAGAGATATCCTGTCTGAAAAAATAAAAAAATTAAAGGGGTGGGGTGGGGCAAGGCAGGACAGGACAAGACAGGGCAGGAAATGAAGGAAAGGGAAGGGATAAGAGCTATGTGTAGTGATGCAAGCCTATAATGCCAGCT